TCTAAATAGCTCAAAGATAGCATGCATGAGTCACCAAAACACAAAGCTAGCAAGGCCAATTGCACTACATCTATACAAAGCATAAAGGATATGGCAAAGGCAACCCAAAATAGTCCTAGATCATGCCAAAATGATACTAAAACATGTATGGAAAGAAGCCAAAACAAGCTAGCATGAAGGACATAAGGCATGGTGCATACGAGGCAAATAAGGTGGATTACACAACACCTATTAAGACCAAGCATGGAATGACTTAAGCAACAAAAATTAGAGTTATATCATGGCATAATAACCCCAAAAACACATTGAAATGATAGCTCGCAAGCTTAGGCAGGAAGGCATACGCAATGACCTATTCTTAAGGCATAAAGGACCAACCCTCCAACGCATTGAATAAGTGAAAGATGCAAGTGTATGGCCATGAAACATGCACTGAAATAACATAACAAATGATGCCAAATCATTCAAAGAGGCCCAGCAATGCATGCTAGTAGACTCGATACACAAAGCTAACAAGCTAAAATGCACTATAGCTATACAAAGCATGGCATGCATGACCAAAACAACACAAATCAGAGCTAGAGCATGCTAAAACATAGACAAAAGCTTCTTAGAGTTAAGCCAAAAGCATGCTAGAATAGCATGTCAAAGCATGAGACACATTAGGTTAATTCATGGAATTGCACTACAAGTGCATGGAGCATACATGGGGCTATTAAACCAAACCTTAACAGAGATATATCATGGCAAAACAACACCGAGAACATGCTGAGATGGACTCAAATCAAGCTAGAATGACATGCTACTTCATGAAGCATACAAGACTAGTTTTTGACGATTACACTACAAGTGTACAAGGCATGCAAAGGGTGATCAAACCAAACCAAAATAGTGGTATGACATGCTGAAATAACCCCAAATACATGCTAAGAACAAGCCAACACAAGCTTAACAAACATGCTCAAACATGAGGCATATGAAACAAGTATTCAAAATATAAGGAGAGGGATGACCCTCTCCTATTTAGGACTCCAAAACCACCTTTCCACCACTGAAAATCCTTTGGATTTCAGTGGTAGGAAGGTCATGCAAAGGCTACAACAAGAACCTAGAGGGATGGCTCAAAACAAGGCCTAAGAGGGAGTAGATCACCCTCAACAGAAAAGTGACCTTAAACAAACATTTAAAGCATGCAAAAACAGAACTCTTTGTAGTAGAAAGTTAAGCTTAAATCAGCATGCAAATAAGGCTAAAATCTTAAGCCAAAATGGGGGATTTAAGGGTTAGAAACACACCCTTGAAGACCACCTTTAAAGCTGCAACTCCAGCAGGTTTTTCAAGCTCAAACCAACCCAAGAACACCAAAACCAGCTCCTAAGCACCTCAGCAACAAAAAGATGGTGTTTGAGTGTGTGTTTATGTGCAAAAGTGAGACAAAATAACACTTTAAGGCACAAAACAAGAGCAAAAGAGAGATATAGATACAAGTGTGTATGTATAACTCAAACCACAAATTTTTGAACCTAGAGGAGGGAGGAGGAGCCTCCCTTTTATAGAGAACAAAAGCTAAAGCTTCTCAAGGAAGCTAAGCTTCAAGGCCATCCCTCCATACACATATATGGATGATGGTTCTGGTGCTCTCCAGCTGTGCCAGCTGACCAAAAATATCTCCAAAAAGGTGACAAAAAGCAGCCGACCACTTGGCCAGCTACTAAAAGTGGTCGGCCGACCACTTTTAGTGGTCTCCCACAACAAAAACTGGTCGGCCAGGGGTAGGAGAAGTCTACACACTAAAAACAAGCAAGTGGTGTGGTGGCCGACCATAAGAGGTGGCCCACCAGAAAAGGTGGCCCAAAGACCAAAAAAGTCAATTATCCTACCAAAAAACTGGCTGGCAGGAGGAAAAGTGGTCTCCAAGGGAAAAAATTGGTCTCTCACCCTTGTACCACCTTCCAAACAAGGAAAACAAGGTTTGTACCAAAAACAAACCAAAACGGATGCAAGACGAGAGATCGGGAGGCAAAGCACGCGGCCGAAAGCCTCGAAAACTAGTCTACTGGCATCAAAAGTAGTATACGACCACAAAACCGGTCTCCCGGACCACAGTGTTCCTCTAGGCAGAGGCAACAAGACATGGTTCAAAAACCATGCCAAACGGAGAGCGTTAAGCGGTCCCGAGACAAGGCGCACGGCCGAAGGCTCCAAAAATCGGAAACTAGTCTCCAAACGGGAAAAGTGGCCTACGACCACAAAAAATGGTCTACGACCACAAAGAGATGGTCGACAAGACCTCTCCCTCCCTTCGGGAAGAGAAAACAAGATTCGGTCCACAAACCGAGCCAAAGCACAAGGAGTTCAGAGGCCCGGAGGCAAGGCTCTCAGCCAAAAACTCCGAAACCTCAGAACGAGCACAACATGCACAATCACCAAGCGCTCAATTGATGACGTCTGAGTCTTAAGGTCGGTTAAAAATGGGGTGTCTACACATTGAAAATTGGTTTAGTAAAGGGGCAAAGGGGTAATTGCACATTTACTATTAATGTCAATTAACCGGCAAAAATCCAGACATAAGAGGGTATTGTAATTTTAGAAATTTCAAGCGAGATCCCTACATTTGTTAGATCCTTCCATGTAATTAACCCTTTGTTTATTTGTTTGTTTGTTTATTTACATTAATGAAAAGTAATGAGTGGTTGAAATCTTTGAGTGAATGTATGATTTGAAGGGACAACTGATTGTTGCTCGAAGCCTGTGGCCTTAGAATTTTTTCATAAATAGGAAGTCAATATGACCATTGGGGCTTTTTTATTGATTGTTATTGATTGTAATGTAATATATAAAGATAACTGGAATCAGTGTAGTGAAGATTCTAAGATTAAAACCATGCTTAGAATAATCAATAATTTTTCTTTTAATTTCTTCAGGAATACAAGTTGCTTTTAGGACATCAAAGCATGACAATAAAATTGATGAGCTTAATGCATCTAAAAAAATTGTTAACGCTTGATCTTTTTCTTGATGGAATTAAATATGTCAATGTTAACTTATAATCCATTGTGACATAAGAAACATAATCCACTAGACAAACCCTTAATTGACCCTAATATTGCAAATATATTAGTACATCATAATCGTAGTATCTTTATCAAGTCATCACTCCAAGCATGGTTAGTTGGTTATCTACTAGATGAGTGCATAAGCCATAAGTGTGAATGTTTCCATAATCTACTTCTAATTGGATCAGGCATTCAGAAGTTCATTAACATATCAGCACCTGCTGGGGAGACACCTTGTCAGTTTGTTTAATATGTTTGGCCAAAAATATAAAAGCAGAAAAAATAATTAAAAAGGGAGAATTCTTTTAATTAATTTTAGACCTAATTTATTGTTTGTTGAGGTTTCTATTTACATGAAAAAGTGTTTTTCACTTGGAACTCATATTGTTTGTTGATTGATAATGATGCAGAAGGTCAACCAGCTCAATTTGTTCAAGAACATAAGAAGATGCATCATATGAACTTGGAAGAATTTGAGGAGGATTCTCATGGAAAGATTGATGAGCACAAGCAGGTGGTTGTGGCAACTCAGGTGATTGAAGTGAGTGATGATAAAGAAGTTGAAGATGCTGGTGGACAATTGTCAATATCAAATATGGCATTATGTGGATCCCCAGGGAGACGTACAGGGGCCCTTTCCAATGGAATCACTGAAACGCAGGTTCGCCAGCTAGCCTCTAACAAAGCATGAAGCTGTCTTGTTCCGCCAGCCTCTAACAAGCACACGTTTGTCATTCATTTGACATCTATTCTATTGAGAGAATTCAATACACCTTACATAAAAGCATTGTTTGTATCTTAGTTAGTTTTACCAAATAAAAACACTAGTCCTCATTACACGTAACAGCAACAGTATCAGCCTCGCGTTACACAGCCTTTCAAAGGAGAGAGCATATCCTTGCATGGGGGCTTCAGAGTTTTAAACTTGGTGCCTCACCTATTTTATACTTGATTTTGTTTTCATTGGAGCTTCAGAGTTTTCTTTAGGCAGCCATTTTTTTGAGTTGCTTCCATGGAGTTTGTTCTCATGGTGCTTAAGTATATTGCTGGCTGAAGCGTAGCTTTTGCACCTCAGAAATACAGGAGAGCGAGCTCTGAAGCAAGAGCCTCGTATCAATTATCATCGCTTTTTTGTTTTTGTAGGGACAAGAAAACATACATTCATATTGGTGTCTTCAGAGCTGTGCCAGTGTAATATATTTCTACCCAATTTTGGGTACAGGCAAACACAGCGTCGCAGGAGCTTGTCCCACATGGTGTCATGCTTGCTTGCATGATATGCATCTGCCCAAGCATGAGGGGCTAAGACTATATTTTATCAACGTGAGTAGCTAGCTCAAAAGCTTACCATTGGGTTGGGGTTTTAAACATTTTTTTTATATTTATTTTGGTAACATTTCATAATAGTTGATGTTAGAAATTATTAATAAGTCTTCACGGATTACAGTCCTTTTGGAATCCCCAAAAAAAGATCACAGGAAAGAGTTTACCAAATGAATGCAAGGGAGACATGTTGTGGCTCCAAGAGACATGCGACTCTTACAGTCAAATTAGTTATTTGTGACTGTATATAAGGCCAAAAAGAGAGTGCGCATGCCAGCCTGAATTTTGACCTTCATTCCAAGAAAAAGAACAATACTACTCCCACATATATCCTCTTCTTGAAGTGCCTTGAAGGATATCTAACCCTTATATATGGAAGGGAAGTAAGCTTACATGGCTTGGGGCAATGCCTTGCTCACATTCTTTATCCAAGGATCCCTCAAATAACATTTGCTCAACCATAGTTCAGGTTGTAGCTTGGGCAGGGCAGCGTGGAGAGGAGAGTCTTGCCCATGGACAGAATTGAACACTTGACTTACTAATGAGTTCCTAATTAAGTATAAAAGTTCTTGACAACGCGCGCACACAATGAGAGAGAGAAAGAGAAATAACAACATGGTCAAAGGATAATAAAAGAATTCCCCCTTTTATAAATATTTACATATAAATAAAATTCACATGCACTTAAAATGGACTCTACCTACCCCTCTATTCATGTGCTGAAACTCAAAACAGATACGTACAGCACAATGATTTATACACACACACCAGCCAGCCAACCATCTTGCTGCTTAGGGTAACATCATTTCATATCATAGTTGCTCTATTGCTGCAGAGAAATGACCAATACTTATTTAGCATGCGATCTGTAGGCCTCACACGGTCCCACTTCCCTGTGCAGAATATTGCATATGCATCAGCTGCATACCTGGGTGGTGTCTCGCCAATTAAAAAATATCAAATGTTACTGTATTGAAGTAATCATAGATCATCATCATCAATGAAAAATAAAAAAATAGTGTTTGACAAAATTGAACACCGCAGAGCCAATGCCAACTTACTTGCCAACGCCATGCAGCTGAGTCACATGAGTCCAGCATTCTCCCAAATATTCCTGAGAGAAGCGATGAAGCATCACTGCCCTCTTCCTTTGCAAACCCAGAGTTTGTATCACCTTTTCTATCTCCTCTGTGGCAACCTCCAAAGCAGTCTTCGCATTTGGACACAAACTGAATAGCTCTGATATAACTTGCCCTGCCTGCAAGCAGTCATTCATTTATTACTAAAGCTAGTTACAGTTCATTCCAGGCAAACAATAATCTTCTCCAATTGTAGACTTTTTGAACATCTAATCTAATCTAAGAAGCGCATTTGGTATCGTTTTCAAAACTGTTTTCTGTCTCATCAAACAAGGGGGGGGGGGGGGGAACTGCAAATAGAAATTTTTTCGGCAAATTGTTTCTGAAACCGTTTTTGGAAAAAGTATTCTGAAAAAACCCCCATTTTTTAAGAAACACTTTAATATGTGGAACAGTTCTCCCTACTCTTTATTTTTATTTTTATTTTTATTTTTTTTGAGCATCAACAAAAAATTTTATTAAAGATTAGAAAAATGAAATGACAAGAAGTCATCATACAAAGGAGAGAAAACAAAAACACTAGGATGCAACAGTCCAATCCCTATAGATCAAGAACAAAGGGACTCTTTTAAAAGGAGGTGATACAAATGCCCAAAATGAAGCCAAATACCCCACTCTATCCCACAAATCTGCTATATTCGATTCCTTGTCATAAAAAATTCTTGCATTTCTCTCCAACCATAAAGTCTAGAAAATAGCAAAAACAATGCTTAATCACAATGTTTTAGCTCTTTTGGAGTTCCTAAACCCTTTGAACCTAACAAGAAGCATTTGAATGCAATCCCGCAGGGCAACCAACTGATCCTCACATAAGCCAAAAAGATGCTGCCATAATGCAAAAGCCACCGGGCAATGAAGGAATAAATGATCCGTCGCCTCCGAATTCCTCTTGCACATCACACACCATTGAGAGCAAAGAGAGTGATTAGGCCTTTTTTTTTTGAAAAACATCAATAGTTGTGACACCTCTTTGAGCTAAAGACTACATGAAAACTTCACTTTATGACGAACTACCATTTTCTAAATTTTCTGATGAAAAGGAAACACAGGAACAGAGGGATTATCAATAAGCTTATCAAATAAAGATTTACAGGAAAAGACCCTTGAAGAAATAATATTCCATACCCTAGTGTCATGAGAGGAAGAAAGAGATACCCCATCAAGCAATACCAACAAAGAAGCCAACTCAACAACCTCCCTTTCGTTTAAGTTTGTAGGGAAGTCAAAATTCCAAGAGATGGGGCTATAGAAGAACATGCCCCTGAAGCTATTGAAATATTCTAAGAATGAACCAACCGATATAGAAGTGGAAAAGCTCTATCAAACGAGCTGTCCCCTAACCAAACATCCTCCAAAAAATGGATGCTCAACAGATTCCCCACTTCTAATGAAAGAAAATTAGACACAAGTGGATACAAGCGAGAAATGGATTTCCACGGTGAACGACAATTGCCTCTATTAACCACGTTAGAATCTCTACCATTAAGTTGAACTCCATACTTGCTTTTAACAATAGAACACCATAGCGACTTACTTTCATCAAGAAATCTCCACAACCATATGCTTAAGAGATTAATGTTCCTAGCAACGATATTCCCTATAGCAAGGACCCCTCTATCCCTAGGGAGAGAAACGATCTCCCATTTAACCAAATGGTCCCTTTTACCCTCATCACACCCTTCCCAATGAAAATTTCTCATCAATTTCTCAATTTTCCTTACAATGCTAACCGTGATTTTGAACAGTTCTCCCTACTTAAGCTTTGCTTTGCCACATTTGTAGATAATGATACTACAAACACTTTGCACCAATAAACAATCCCTTCATTTACCAGTGTAAACCCACCATGGTGGACACTTGTTATAAAAGGAGGGAGGGGGGGGGGAATCCACTTCCGCTTCGAAAATGAGAGACCTTTTTTTAAAATAGAATCTACTGTAAGCTACACTTAGTACTTTAATTTTCTTTTATTCTGAAAATGACTTTTCCACATAATTCACGTACACAAATACATAGCTTCACCTTATTGTCGAGCTCTTGAGGAATTATAGTATCTGAGACCTTGTATCCATATCAAGAAAACTAATGTCAAAAAGTAGTTGTCACCATCACCTTAGGTCAAACTAGTAAAGAAGATACCAAATGTGAGCAGACGGTAAAATTTTCCAAATAAACACACCTACAAAGACATTCTCTCCAACAACGGATTTTTTTTTTTCTCCCTTTACCCATTCAGTTTGAATCTCTCTGCACCAGATTAGACACTTAAATGGACGAGAATTTGCTTCTATTTATTTGTGAAAAAGAGGAGCCTTTTTAGTGAACACTTAAGATAAAACAAAGGAATTGACTAGATATAGGTGAACTGTTCAGGAATCTCTCACTACACAACTATATTTCTCCACTATAATATTCATGATTTTACCACACACATCCAAACAAACATCAAACTATTTGTCCATCTCTTAAGGAATTAAAAACTGTACAATCACCAACACCGCACATCCAAGTCAAACTGAATTGCTTGTGCTTGTGTCCACAAAACTAAAGCAAACTTTGATCCTTATCATGACTTGTCACCATGACAGGACTCGAGTGTTGGATTCATCTAATTTTCATGTCCAAGGACACTAAGACGTGGCTAGATTTTATATTTTTTTAAGACAAAATGGTGTTTACAAGCTAACATATTAGAGCATTTTGTGCATAAAATGTGAGTATTAAGCATAGTTATATAACAAACAAAACTATTTAGTGGGTGCATGTCCAACTAAGCATGTCATATGCATATCATATATAGACCCTCTGTTCTACAGTGTTAGAGTTCAACAGGGGTATTTCACAAATTTAGAAGAATCCATCCAACATAATACATATATGTAATTAGCAAGGAAATAGAAGTAAGCTGCCAAAACATTTTCAAAGACACCCTATTAAAGAAAAGAATGCCATACTTTTGAAAGAGAGAATTTCAGCAGTGTGTAGTTGCACTTATACAACAAAATTTTATGCACTCTGTGATTAAGGAGGATATAAGCAGGGTATTGGGGTTGGGTAAAAAAGGGTAAATAACACTGACCTTCCTCAAGATTTCTGACTAATTGGTGTAGAATCAGAGGAAAACAATAGAGGGAATTCTAGAAAGAAAAAAGTTGTATTTTTCAGTAACCAATCTTGCTGAACAAATGTAAAAGTTCAATACATCACATCCGTATATGTAGTAGATTAATAAGCGCTATCAATCAAATTAGGAAACAAAAAGAAAATAAGAAATATTAAAACCAGGAAAATCATATTAAAACTAAAATTTGTATTCTCCAACTATTCTCCTTCCAATTCATTTTCTCTCCCTATCATTTCTCCCTGGCTAAGAAAAACTCTAGTCGAAAGAGTTGAGATATGAAAAGTACTTCAAAAGGTGTATCTCACGTTTTGGGGAAGCACTTCCACAATCACAATAGCATGTGAACAAAAAAATACGCCCTCAAAAAGCCAAGATCAAGAAGCCCCAAACTTCTATTAAAAAAAAAAGTTTGCATGAACACTCTAGCATCAATAGTTAGGCATCCATAAAATGACTAAAATAAAACATATAGAAGAACATGTTCGTGGTAGAAATGTAGCAATCCCTATAAAAACACCAACAAACAAAAAAAGAGGCTCCAAGATGCCTTGATCAAGTAATAAATTCTTCATTTGAAACACTGGGCCAATATTTAAACTCAATGGTAAATCACTAAAATGTGCACTGGGGCCACACACAATCCAGAATAACATAGATGTACCCATTAGATGTCAACATAAAATAGTTGGATGGAGATTAAACTTGACACAAAGGTGTATTGGTTATGCCTTGATGCTTAAAATAATCAAGAGCATCCTCAAACTAAGAAGCATATACACGGACACACACACACAGCCATGGCAATTTTCAAAAAATGTAGGATTTGATATATGGAGAACACACACAAAATATATATTTTCACATATTTATTATATGTCATATGTATGAATATATCATTCAAAGATAATAGAAAAATGTAACATAATACTAAATTTTGTAAATCTTTTTCATTTTTCTTTTTCTTTGTATCCTAGGTTATTTTTGTTTAAACTTATAATTAGTTCCATGTGTGTCAAAGTGACGGACGAGTGTCTAGATCTTAAGAAAGCAAAAAATAATGGGACACATTTGGACAAGTGTCTTACACATGTCAGAAAGTGTCCGACAAGCACACAACACAGATCTGCCACTTTCTTAGAAGTGTCCATGCTTCATAGTCCTCAAGAGAACTATTATGCCACCACGAGCATCCTCAATAAGGGTCCACTGTCTTAGTGGTTAAAACTCAGCCTACCTTGAGGTTGTGGGTTTGAAACTGAGGGCAGCCACTTTGTGCAAATTATGCCAAATGTTAGGATTGTACCCGATGTAGCCCTTCCTGACCCCCATCAAATAGAGACTAAACTGGGTGTAGTTTTATCCTCAAGTGAACTATTAATATTAGGCAAAGAAACATGGTTTTAAAAGAAACATGGTTTTAACATACTTATAAGGTGAATGATCAAGAATAATCTCAAGGTCATTTTTGATTTGTGGACAGGATTAGGTGAATAAGTTATCCTAAGGAGGTCATTTTTGGAATTTTGCAACAAAAGTGTTGCATCGGGATAAGTTGTTGTCCAACCCCTTCAGATAAGAGGATATGACAGTTAAGAGTGACAAACTCAGCAGGAGTATAGGATATGTGACACAGCTGTAGTGAATTTTGTTCGACATCAATATGACACACCCATAAGTATTCTCATCAGCAGTAGAATCAATGATTAGATCAATATTTTGCATTGTCATTGATTCAACAGGTTGCTCCTCAGGTGGTGATTCAATTCCAGGACACCTTGACGCTTGAGGGCTATGCTATTGATAGGATAGGACTAGCAAAGGTGCAACAACAAATGACTAGGTAGAGCCTTAGTAGACACCTTGACAGGAGCTACTTATAATGGTGAATTTTGTAGGTAGATAATGTCAACTCTTTTCGTAAAAGTCAATTATTCTCTCTACTTTTTTGTACGTCTTTTCGTCAAAAGTCAAAAAGTCAATAAAAAAGCTAATTCCCAAAACAACTGTATAAGAGGGCAACATCTCTCTACAATTTTTTCTCAACCCATTGAACTCATTAAGTAATTAAGTAATTGTTTAACAATAATCTAAAGTTGAATACTAAGGTCTCCTCTTTTCTTAAGACAGTCAAATTGTGCAGAATATTCAGATACGCTATAATTTAGTTGCATAAGACTAGGTGACACACATAAATCATTCTTTGCTCCTCACCAGGTAGTGTCCCTGATAATTTGTGCAATTTGGAGAAGTATTTATCTAGTGTCATGCAAAGACACTCATAGAATTGGTCTATTGACTCCCTAAAGAGTGTTATCACTCATTTTGTCAAAATTATTTTTTGACATTTCTCACAAATAGTGAAATAATTTGTCAAGGTAGCTGCTGCAGCAGTATCATAAGCATGGGTTACAAAAATACCAAAACCAATTATTCCACTAATTAAGTTCAGAAAGCTAAAGAAAAGGACAACATACCTGCACACCAGTTGTCCGATTAAGAAGCATACATATGACCAAGACCCTCCAAGGATCATGGGCATGATCCTCTTGGAGGAGACTGAAAGGAGAGCGTGGAGGCTTCCATGTGTTATCTGGAGTTCTTCTTTTGTAAGCCTCATCTCGCTTCTCAGCAGCAGAAAGAACAGGTTTAACCAATGCTGCTCTTTGGGCTTTCTTGGGCAGTACTATGCATTCAGTTCGACTTTCCGATGAATCAGAAATTGCATTCTCTTCTTCCATTGGTGAGACATTGTGAAAGAAGTGGGAAATCCCCACTTCTGTGGGACATTTCTTCATGCATTGTTTGGGAAATTTGATTTTCAGATGTTTTTCCTCGTCTGGCATCACTTGTTTCCCTGTCGAAGTATTGAAGTAACTAGAAACCACCCGAACTTTTTCATGTGCTTTCTTCTTACCTTTTTCATCCTTTCTTATTTTTTTGGATGAGATCTTTTCACTTACTGTCTCATTCAAATTTTCCTCCCCTCCCTTCATATTAGTGGAACTGAATGGGTCAATCTTCTTCTTAGCAACAAATGAGGATTCTGTTCTCTTCTGTTTATTGTCTTCTACATCCCTATTTTCTTTAATAATAACCTTCTCACTATGAGGATGGAGAACCGGTGATTTAACACAGTTCTTGTCTTGACCTTTTTGCTGAAAGCTACCCTTGTATATAAATTGTGATAACACATCCTCAATCCGAGGTCTATTGACTACAATGCCTTCACCATTATTAACTGGTTTAAGGGTATTAACCTTGCCCTCAACCAAAAAACTGGATTGCCTAGTCTTCTCCAACACATTTATCACTTTTTCCACTCCCTTGTGGGGACATGGAGAAACTATCTCAGAATTCAAGTCCTTAGGGTAACAGCCATCATCCATTCCCCTCTTCTTCTTGACATCTTCCTCATTATGGTCAAACAAATGCACAGCCCCACTGACTTCATTTTGGTTGCTGTTAATGGCAACAATGGGAGAAGTAAGTTCCACTTTAATAGAGGAACCAGATATCATCCCCCTTTCCCCATCACTGCACTCATTTGAAGTTTTCTCGTGATGTTTGCCCTCCTTTCTCTTCTTTCTCCTCTGGCCACTGCCACTGCCACTGCGACGACTCTCATCAATCTCCACTCTAAACACAGCCTCACTGGCTTGTTTTCCACAGGTCTTGGTGGGTACAGTAAATGTTCCTGGATTTGTATTTGAATTAATCGAGGAGACAACAGGTCCGTCCACCCCTTTCCTTTCTCCTTTAACAACTAGCTGAAAGTGGGAGGAAGTTGAATCGCCCTCCTTTTTTGTTCCCTCATTACCAGTGTAATTCCTCTCTTGTTCACATGAGAAATTTTTAGAACATAGAGTAACTGCCTTGTCGCTGTATTTTTTATCCTTGTTTCTCTTCTTTCTCCTCTTTTTAATGCCACCACCCGCACTAATGTCTGCTGAAAACACAGCTGAACTGCCTAGTTGTAGATGCCCGTTAGTCTCATTGGATTCAGTGAATGCTTTTACATCTATATTTGAATTAATTGAGTAGACAATAGGCTCATCAAAATCTCTGCCTTCTTCTTGAACAATTCTATGAAAGTGGGGAGAAGTTGAACTTACCTGCAGGTGCCGAGACGTCATCTGGCCATGATTATCATTGTGACTTGCTTTCGGTTCCTCCTCCTTTTCTTTGCTCATCTTACTCTTCCTCTTCCTCTTGTTCTTGCATCCCCCTTCCTTAAAAGCTATGATAGCATTCTTCAATTCAAATGAGGATATAGGTTTTGCTTTGTTTTCCATGTCTTCTTCTTTAACAACCGTCTGAAAGTCGGGAGAAGTCGCACTTACCTGCAAGTCATTATTGTGACTTCTTTGTTGCTCTTCCTCCTTCCTCCTCTGATTACAATCACTTCTTTTCTTCTTCCTCTTCATGTTCTCGACGGGGATTGTCTTCTTGTCGTCGGCAACAGCTTCCTCCTCCTCACGATTGCCCATAGAAAATGATACAAAATCACCGTTGTCGTCTCCATCATCATCATAGGGTTGTTGCTTCTTCTTCCTCTTCTTCTTCCTTTTGCAATCGTTCCTGTCCTCTGCTGCGGCATAGTCCTTTTCCTCGTGGAAATACGGAGAGACTGCTACTACTAGCCTTTTTCTGGTTGTTGATAATGTTGATTCAGGAGGAGTAGATGAACGCAGCAGTGGTCGTGTTGCTCGTCTTTCGTGCTCTCTTCTGTTTTCCGTCGTCGTCGTCGTCGTCGTCGTCATGTCTGGCGGATGCTTTACCATTCCATTCCTCAATTCAGAATACGCCCCTCCACCCCTCCCCTCGTTAAGTCACAACCTTCTCTAATACCTAACCAAAAATGCTGCCGACTTAGGGTGCGTTTGATTATTTACGGTGCGAATTGTAATTTGGAGAACGCATTTAATTCGTGTTTGTCTTTTTTCAGTTTGTCAAATATGGAGTGTGGCCGGACATTTTACCTCTATATAGGGGACTATTGTATACCGGGGGAGATAATTTTGGAGGAACAATTCACTATTGGGATTAAGTGGTAAAATTATTATTTTGATCTTTTATTATTTAATTATATATTATATTTAGTAAAATTCAATAAAATTTAAATGTCTCAATTTAAAAATAAAATAATTTTATTTAACTTTTTATTGATGTTTTATTTATTTAATTTATTTAAAATAATTTATTTTACAAAGAAAATTGTTCCAACAATATATGCTTATTCCTTTTATATGCCCCTAAAAACCCCAATCATGAGAATAAGCTATTAATGAGATAGGATACGTGCTAATTTGCGTCGATCTCAGAGTGTAACAGATGTGCCGAAAACCAGCCCAATAAGCATGATAGTAAATGGAACAATAATTATATATTGTGATCCTGCTTTGTTTGTAAATATGGTGGAAACTTGTCACTGATCATCAAAATATATTTGAACATGATGTGCCAACACACAAGAATTAATCACACTATTCAGGTCTCGTTTGCGAACAGGTTAATTTAATATAATTGAAAAAGGGTAAAATAGTCTTTTGTTCATTTATCATATCCAGTCCGTCCAACCAAACGTTGGATTCACTAAAAATAGTCATTTTCAGACATCTAATCCCATGAAAAAACAAACACATAATACATATCCAATCCAACCAAATAGTCCGGGGATTCACAGACTCAGGACTCAAATCCGATGGATTCTAATCCCCCTTATCCAGTTATTCCAATCAAACACACCCTTAGTGTATGTCCGTCATGGTGTAAATAAAAAGAAAAAAAAAACAAATCAAAATATAAGAACAAATTAAAAAAATTATAAATACTGAATAAAATATAGAAATAAAATATATTATATACTTGTTAACATTATATAATAAAAAAGAAAAAAAATTACTAAAGACGACACAAAGCATATCAGTAAGTGCTTTGTGATCTCAACAAATTAAATATCAACCAATACATATGAGTCTGTACTCTATAATTCCAAAGAAATCAAATACAAAAAAAAATAATAATAAATATCAAATAATACACACTAGCCAGTACTCAGTACTGTACAATTTAAAAAAATTAAAATTAAAATACACGTCAGTTAGCACTATTGTTGCCAATCAAATTATAATTACGAAAATACTTGACCCCCATAACCCCCAATTGATTTCTAGTCACACATTATTTATTTATTTTTTTCCCATCTCACTCCTCCCTCTCTCACAGATGTGTAGAGGGGTGTTGGGGGTCTGGAGCAAAGTCCTTATAATTACATAAGAAAAACAAACCAAAGCTGATACAAACCCCCACTCAAAACCACCCCAACACCTCCACTGAGTTGGCACCTTCCTGTTGCCATGTGAAGAACAATTGCACTTTAATAAGGTGTGATACGCGCACCTATGAAACAAAAAAACAAAAACAAAAACAAAAAAATAAACGAGAAGCCCTAAATCCTTCTTCCCCTCGTTCGTTCGCCTCTGTCCCTCTTCCCTCTTTCCTCTTCCCGCTTCCTTCGTCCGTCTGCCATAGTTCTCCTCCGTTGATGGCCATAACTCTCCGGGAACTTCTCGCTATCTCTGTCTCTCGCTCTACTGATCTTTGATTGCATTTTTATAGGTAATGATCTTCCCTCCTTCTCTCTCTCTCTCTCTCTCTCTCGTTTTCATACATACATACACTGACCAGTCTCTCACTACGCCAAAATAGGGCATTAACGGCGGTTTTTTTAACGGCGGTAACGAAAACCGTCGTTAAAGGTACTATTAACGGCAGTAACGAAAACCGTCGTTAAAGGTATCATTAACGGCGGTTTTGTTACCGCCGTTAAAAAAACCGCCGTTAATGCCCACTTTTAACGGCGGTAACAAAATCGCCGCTAATGCCCAATCATTACCGCCGTTAATGACGGCGGTCTTTGCCGGCGAAACTCCGGCGTGCTCCGGCGAAACCATCTACAATAAAGTAAAAGTAATGTTTAAATATTTATTTAGGGAATATATTTCATGAAGAGTGGCTATGGTAGAGTGGTTAGTGTGGGTGGATGAGAGGTTGAGGGTTCAAGACTTGGGGAGTGCAAGAAGAAAGAATTATTTTTTAAAAATTTTGAACCTATTTACGGCGGTAAAAAAACCGCCGTTTTTGGTCCTATGTTACCGCCGTTTTTGGTCGACTTTTAACGACGGTAATTTACCTTTTTACGACGGTTGTACTTTTTCCGACACGCGCATAAACGGCGGTAACAAAACCGCCGTTAAAGGCTTTAACGACGGTTTTACAACCTTTAACGGCGGTAAAAAACCGCCGCTAAAGCTCAATTTTTGCGTAGTGGTAGGTTAAGATTCTAACCTCAAAACTCGAATCTAACGGTTCAAGCTCCAACGATCAAGCTTGGAAGTTCACTCTCTTACTCAAAGGCTTCCCTTCCTTCTTCCTAGAGTTTCTCTCTCTAAAAGGCAAGATTTGATACAAAATGATATGTTTCTCTCGACAGTCACTGACTTAATCCCTCTGCTGGGACACGTGGCATCGGCTGGTTGGCTCTACTCGAAAAGGTGACTGACTGATAAGACAAGACCATGACAAAGTGTATTCAACAAGCTAGACGGCAAGAGCACTTCGGTAAGTGATGATCTCGGCTAAGGGCAAAGCTTCAGCAAGCAGGGTAACAATGACATCTGCTTGGAAGGACAACACTTGACTAAGCTGTGCCACACCTTGGCCTAGATGTGCCACACCTCGGTCTAGGTCATACCATTCCAGGAATAAAATCACTGAGTGCAAGGATCAAGGATCTAGAACGCCTAGATAATAACATCTCGGCCTAGATGATGCACATCTTGGCCTCGGTGATGCGTACCTCAGCCTAGATAGTGACATCTCGGCCAATATGTCAGGATGAAGGTGGAGGTCAACCGAAGTGGTTCCAAGATAGCTCTAAGTGTAGAAAGGTTCCAAGGTGTCTTGGCTTAAGATGACCTCGGCAACACATCAGGCAAGAACAAGCATGCAAGCAACACTTAATCAAAACAAGACAAGATTTGCAAATGCACATAACAAAACAAGATCATACATAAATGTATGCAAGTATGACTAAGTTGAAGTGAGGGTTGTTACACCTTCTTAGGTTCTTCAACTTGTTCACCCTCATTTACTGAAGGTTGTTCACCCTCATTTACTGAAGGATTGTCACCACCATTTGAATCAACCTCTATTCTTCCACTTTCAAAAATGAAATTGAAATAGAATGATTTCAAAATGATTATTTTATAAGGTTATTGGACTTGTGTTTTGTGGGTAAGTCCCCGTTTTCAAACAGTAGCAAATTATAGCAACTTCATCTAAAAGTAATAAATTATTTGACATGTTCAAACACTAATAAATTATTCCAAAAATATTTCATTTCAGTTATTGCCTTCAAACACTAATAAATTATAGCAACTTCATCGAAAAAGTAATAAATTATTTGACATGTTCAAACACTAATTCATTGTGTTCTTTGATTGATGGTAGAACTAAATTGAATCAGTCATAATTTCCCTTCACTATGACACTTTATTATCATAATTCTATGTTTTTATGGTTTGTTGTCAGGCAATGACCAAGTACCCAAGATAAGTTGATGGAATTTAGTAAAATTAACTTTGGGACATGTTTTTGCAGGCTGAACATTGAATGACCATTTGTTCTTTTGAGTGCTGTTTCACTGGAGTATTTCGAACCATTTGTGCCAGAAGTGTAACATACAAAGCTGATAAAGACCCTTTAATGTGTATCTACTATTTGCACATAACACATTTATAATTGCACAAAACACATTCATAATATCACATTTCTGTAAAATGTGTTTTGAGGAACACATTTATAAGATTATATACAGAACATTTCACAGACACTACGCAAAAATGGAGCTTTAGCGGCGGTTTTTTACCGCCGTTAAAGGCTGTAAAACCGTCGTTAAAGCCTTTAACGGCGGTTTTGTTACCACCGTTTATGCACGTGTCGGAAAAAGTACAACCATCGTAAAAAGGTAAATTACCGTCGTTAAAAGTCGACCAAAAACGGCGGTAACATAGGACCAAAAACGGCGGTTTTTTTACCGCCGTAAATAGGTTCAAATTTTTTAAAAAATAATTCTTTCTTCTTGCACTCCCCAAGTCTTGAACCCTCAACCTCTCATCCACCCACACTAACCACTCTACCATAGCCACTCTTCATGAAATATATTCCCTAAATAAATATTTAAACATTACTTTTACTTTATTGTAGATGGTTTCGCCGGAGCACACCGGAGTTTCGCCGGAGCACGCCGGAGTTTCGCCGGCAAAGACTGCCGTCATTAACGGCGGTAATGACGGTTTTCGTTACCGCCGTTAATAGTACCTTTAACGACGGTTTTCGTTACCGCCGTTAATAGTACCTTTAACGACGGTTTTCGTTACCGCCGTTAATAGTACCTTTAACGACGGTTTTCGTTACCGCCGTTAATAGTACCTTTAACGACGGTTTTCGTTACCGCCGTTAATAGTACCTTTAACGACGGTTTTCGTTACCGCCGTTAAAAAAACCGTCGTTAATGCCCTGTTTTGGCGTAGTGTACTCTTGTTGTTCTTATTGATCATCTAGCTGCATTGCACGATCAAACCTGTTCTGCACGTCATGCATTGATTTAAAGTTGGTTTTAGAAAGAGAAAATGGTTTTCATGTGTTCTTGAAGAAAAGCCTCGTTTGATCTGAAAGTTTGCATTAAGGTTTATGTTTTGTGTTTGTTTTCATAAAATCTTCGAGTATGGGTATCCAGGTTCATGATTTCGGATTTTTAGCATGAAATCTCAGATTTTGTAATAGCAAGTTTTAATCTTTGCATTCATCT